TTCCACAACTCGTTGGAAAAAGGCTCAAGGGCACGAGCTTCCTGCCAGTTGTGGTCTCGTCATGCATCCATGAAAATTAAGCTTTGCAACCTTTGACCTTGACTCAGTGCAGGTGGAAACTTAAGTGATTGTATATCCGATGGCGAGCAAGGCGCAAAATCACCCCCTCACAAAAACTTAGTCATGCGGACTAAACACTATTTCTGCAATTGCTGAAAATGTTCCTTGCAAGTATGAGGAATACGCTGGTTTAGTATTCCTACCTGCCTCACACCGCTTGGTTCACCAAATGGTATGCCTTTTTTGGGAGTTAGTCCTTGAAAGTGTTCGGAAATATTCATGCGAGGTTCGATGCTTGCAAGCATGTGCAAAGAAATCTGCCAGAAGACCACTCATGGGATGAAAGGCGTTAGTCATTTGCGTGAAAAGGGCAGTTCTAAGTCAAGTTTTTGAAGAAGGGATCAGAGATTCGATTTCAATGGTGGCGAACTTGTTTGTGGAAGATTGCGGCCCCGTTGTCATATGCCTAGACTTGCGGGGCATAAGTAACGGAGAACAGCCAATGCATGGACAATTGAGGGATAAGATCAGTGGGATCATCACTGCATGTTGTTTTTTCATGAGACTCGCATGTTTTGGGAGCTATACAGTGGATGCAAGTGTTTGGAAGTATACACAGATGCAGGAAGACCATGACACGCGTGGGTGGTGCGTGGAAGAGTTTTGATTTGCCTCAAGCACTTATTGTGACCTGTCAATTTGCCTTAAGCCCCTTGGCCGCACTCATAGATGCGTTCTTACTAATCAAGAAGACAAGCGTCCTTCACCAGGGAAGCCATCCATAGAAAAACGTGGCCCAGGTTGTCCAACATGGCCCTTGTTTTGGATGCTCAGCTCCAGCAGGCTGGAATCTTCAAGAAGGTGGCCGAGTCAATGAAGGACCTGTGCAAGGAGGTGAACTTTGACTGCTCCGAGAAGGGCATGCAAGTGCAGAGCATGGACAGCTCACATGTGGCGCTGATTTCCGTTGTCATGCATGAGTCTGCCTTCGCAGAGTTCAAGTGTGACCGCCCGGTGTCGCTCGGCATGAACGTGGACTCCCTGATCAAGATTATGAAGATGACGGGCCCCAGCGACAGCCTGAAAATCATGCACAAAGCGGATTCGGACCTGGTCAGCTTCCAGTGCGAGGGCTCCGACGATCGCATCTCGGAGTTTGACATGAGGCTGATGCAGATCGAGAATGAACATATGGAAATCCCGGAGCAGCATTACAAAGTGGTTGCCAAGATGCCATCCGCCGAGTTCCAAAGAATCTGCAGGGACCTGAAAGAGTTCGGGGAGACCTTGCAGTTGACCGGGGACAAGAACGGCTTGAAGTTCGCGGTGCAGGGGGACATTGGCAGCGGCAACGTCCTCCTGAAGCCGCGTGAGAGCGAGAAGCCGGAGGAGAAGGTGTCCCTTCAAATCCATGAGCCGGTGACCGCCTCCTTCGCACTCCGCTACCTTTTCAACTTCTCCAAGGCCGCACCCCTCTGCGGTACCGTCACGTTGGGCTTCGCCGCGGATGCACCGCTCTTGGTGCAGTACGACCTGGAGTCGGAGGAGAAGGGCCATGTGAAGTTCTACCTTGCCCCAAAGCTGGACGAGTGAAGGCTTAACTGATTTGACGCTTTATACCGTTTCACGTTTACGATTTTGATCCGGGGTCTCATTAGCAAGCCCTTATGGGTCCACAGCAAGTGGCGGGCTGAGAAACCTGCCACCCTTGTGGTGGGGAGTGGCTTGATTCCACAACTCGTTGGAAAAAGGCT